CTCTCTCTCCTTACTTGATATCTCTTTCTCTCTCCTTTGTTCTTCTAAACTTAGCTTGCACGTTCTCTACAGTGTATTTGCATATCGCGGAATCGTCCGCTTGATTTCACAGGAACTCTTTGATCCCCGAATTGAAATATAAAGGCAACGCGGTGTTGTTGCGGCCTGTTCTACACAATGTGTAAATGCATCATATTTTACATCCGGGATGCGCCGCTCCAGTTTCGCTCGCTTCTTTTTGTGTTTTTTCCAAAATCGTACGGGACATTTGCCGGACTCTTTTTCCTTTCACTTTATACTCTATTCTCATGTCATTTTACTTAATTTATGCGGGTACTTGTACGCTTCTCCAAAAATTCCAAAGCTTTTACACATTTTTATTATTCAAAAATCATAATCGTGTCACGCGTGCATCCAATTAAATAAAAAACGAGACGCTAATGAGGCAAAAATCTGTAATTGCGCAGAAAAATTTATTCGCTCGCATTATTCGCAAGGGGTGTCAAGCAGTCTGGAAAATTATTGCGCACTCTCCTGTTACTTTCCCGCGCTATCTCGTTTTTTCCATTCGTACTTCCTTCCTGCTCTCTCCCGTCCGTAGCTCAATTTTTATTTTCTCGAAAGAAATCTTTGAACAATCGTATATTTCGCTGATGATCATACATGCGTAAGTTTACGATTAATTATTCGAAAAGAAAATGCGAATACAGCAGTGAATTCAAAATACATAAAACATTTTAATATATATGAGTTACGAAAAGTATTTTTCGATCGATGTATATATCAGAAAGAAAGAGACGTGAAGATAATTCGCACAAAAGGGTAAAAAACTGAAGGAACGAGACTGATAGAGAATGATAGAAGGTGACTGACTTTTTGGCCGGACTCATAGAGAGAACGGCCGAGATATAAGAAATAATAAACGAGGCCATTAAGCCCGTGAATTTTTCTCGTGCGAGAACGGAGGGAAGCGAGGCGAAAGAACAAAAGCCCCCCGAATTTGCAGTCTTTACATCTCACGGTCCTTATATTTTCATACTGCATACTCTATTCCGCTTTCTTTCCTGTCCGCCTACTCTCTTCCGCTTTCCCTGTTCCTCGTCGACCGGCCGTATATGTCGTCGCGGACCGTTTCGTACGCCTCATGCCGGACTTTATAAATTTGTGAAATGCATCACCGCATAATCTGCATGTGCTCTGTTTGCGAACCAAAATCGAAATAAAATAAGAGAAATTAAAATAAGCTCGTCTTTCGGTCTGTATACTGGATCTCGTGGAATTTTTATCAAGTAAAAGATATTTTCTATATAAAATAAAAGAGATTGAAAGAGATTGAAAGAGCGAGAAAGAGAAAGGAAAACGAAAGACACCAACAAAATCTAACTCTTTCAAGTATAGATTTTTTATACAAAAAAATTGAGTTATTAACGTTACGCATAGTATTTTTTATAAAAGTATAAAAATATTTATGATTCTTTTTTGGTATTAATTGATTTTGATATGAAACAATGTACATAATTTACTACTACTGCACAACTTGTAACCTAGTCAAATATTTGTAGTTAATTAAACAGGCGATATGCTTCTCATATAAATATAATCGTGTCACGAGAGAGAAATTAACATCCGGTATTTCAAAATAACATCTGGTTAAAAATGTAAGCCGATATGCAATTCATCGCTCAAATATTTTGCTTGAATTTGCCAATTTTGCAGTGACATAAGAAATGCCATCTCTTTTGAAAACGCGAAACGGACAGGTGTCCCGAAAGCGGAAAAAAAGATCGTGCTTGGAGTTATATTTTCTGACAGAAGATAAAAAAGACGACTGTCGCTCGAGGCTCATTCGACCGTTTAAATTATTACTTTCTTGCGAGATGATCGATGCTCATATTCCGCATTTACACCGAAAATCCGGTAATCGTTCCTGTCTCGCGATGCTTTTGCAAGACGAGAAAATATTTCTCTCGGATTTTACAATTTCTCTGACTCTTTCCCTTACTTCGAGTCCTTTTTTTCCTTCTTTCTTTTTTCGTTCACATTTCATGAAGCTATTTATTCGTCTGTGTTTGACGAGTTCACCATGTCATCGATATTTCCACTGCAATTTCGTCAAATTTCTTATAGCACACACTTCAATGAATGATTTCATAAAAATTCATTCTCTCTCTTTCTGTTATGTAAATAATCATTATAGATTCAATATCACCATCACAAAACAACCTATTTTTAAATCACGTAAATAATAGCAATTTACATAAAATATCGTACAAAGGGTGACTCCACCCTTTGTACGACATTCACCAGTATGTAATTTAAAAAAGAAAATCGTTTATCGTAAAAATTAAAGTTCATAACGTGAAATACATAGATGGATAAACCTCGAATTAATGATAATTGTGCGCACATATTCAGCCGCAAATATTTACTGCCCGCGTACAAAAATGTCAATGCCACTCCACCATGCATTTTCCTGCGAGTATAACCGCAATGGAAACGTTAAAATAAACAGTCGCGCAATATTTCAATGAAAGCATTTTCACGCAAACATACGGGCGAATAATATCTGACAGAACGTTTCTTGGAGAATAAATGCAGTTCCCGACAGTTCTAACATTGCGCCGTTTCTCCAACTTCTCACGCGCGCGTACGTGAAGCTTTCATTCCGACCGTAAAGCCGATAAATTATCGAGCTTGAACGACGACACTGTTTTGCGCACCGGCGATTTACTCATGCGGAATCGGCGCGAAGAACGGACAATGGCTATGAGAGAAATCAATTTCCAATTTGTTGGAGGGGGACACGCTCGAAAGTGCATTCTGCATCGTGTCACGTGCCACGATCGGACACTCACGACGACGAGGGGCGTTTCTTGGTAGGGTGCGTTGGTCTCCGGATGTGGAGACAATTCTTGGAAGAAAAAACTGGAGGTCTCTCGAGTCACGTATCCGAAAAAAAAAAACCAACTAGAAACTGCAGCCCTTCGCGCATCTTGAACGTCGGAGCGAACAAAGAATGATGCTGGAGTATAATTTATCTATTCCCTTCCGATTCACATCTCCCGTAAATCTCCCCGTTAATGACAACGATTTTATTCAGCTACACGGAAAATGTATATGTCCTCGCAGGTAACAAAATCGCACATTGTCAAAGAAAATCACGAAACTAAAGGAATTCACGGATACTATTTTTAAAAAATCTAATTTAAATAAAGCTAATAATTCAAACTGTTTTCGTAAAGTTTCGAAATTATTCTCGAGTTTCTGATTTCTAAAAGGATCGATCTTACTATCGTTTGCCAACCAGATCCCAAATCCAATCATAAATAGAAAACAAATAGATATAATAAATTATCAGTCAACTTATACTCGGACGATCAGATTAATCAAAATTCCTATTAAAAGAAGGCTCCGATTGCGTTTCATGCGTTTCACAAATGGCCCTTCGAGTTATCGCGAGCATAAATTCCGCGCGAAATCGCCGAGCGGACTATAGGGGCAAGTGCAATTTTACATTAATTGTACGGATCGAACAATATCGGCGATACACACTATTGCATTACATCAGCTTGCTATAAATGAATGCGTAACGAGCAAACGGTATTGCGGGGCGGTAATAATTATATCTAGACCGATGCGCGCGATCATTATTGTTTCGATTCCGAACCATATTATTTGTGCAAGCGTGAAAAAATAACCGATTACCAGCGACACAGCCGTTAACAAGCATCATTTCCTATTAAATTGGGCTAATTAACGCACCAACATTAATGCAACTGTCTGCCAAATATTAATTGTTCGACTTAAGCCGCGACTGCATCACGGAACAGATATTCGTTATTTTAACGAGAGTGCTTAATTAGCCGACAATAGTATGTTGCAAATCAAGCGATACTTTATATCGCAAATAATTATTAAATTAATCGTTGAACTAAAAATAACTAGAATATTCAATATGCTTATATTCGTAATAGATTTCATTTTATACCAACATAACAATATTCTACAAATTACAATAAGTCCATAATTGATGCAATAATATAATAATATTATAATATAGATTGTTCTAAAACCTACTATGTATTTTTCATTTGTAAATTTTATGAACAATATCAAGATAATTCTTTTTCTTTTCAAAACAAAGAAAAGAATCGATGTAGAAAATTCTAGAATTTTTGGATTATGGTAGATTATAGTAAAGTTAAAAGTTTAAAGACATTTCGCGCACAATCGATTCGTAATTGTCCGCGATTCGCGGATATGCCCTTACGTCGTAATAAAATAAGAGGTCAACCTTATAAGGCTGTTGATTCTATCGCAAGGAACACCGAAAGCGACGCCGGAGGATGTTGTGCTAGCAATATCCAAAATCTTCGGTATATATCCGACGATCCAATATTTGCTATGGAGATGAAGTAGGAGTACATTCCGCCATTCCCTCTTTTTCGCGAACTACCACTCGTCGAAAATCTGCTCTATGTATGTATGTATTTGCGTATGTTTCGGTATATATCTTTCGCATACAACTTGTCCCAGTTTATATACGCGTATTTAAATGGTAATCGCGATCCTATATAAATACAAAGATTTTTACCTCAGCTTAAGAAATTTAAAACTAGAATGCTTTTAAACATGAAAAACAGAGAAGAGATATGGACAAGCAAAAATATATTCAAAAATATATAATAATAAGTAAAAAGATCTGTATCAGGAAGGATCTTAATTTTATCATACGATATTCTCGACAGATAAAATGTAATTAACTGGTACGTGATGTAGATGAGAGTTAGGTTAATTAGGTTTACGGTAATTTAGATGTACGTTTAGATTAATTTATCTAATTGCACAGCATATTCCGTTCCGCAACGCAAATAAATTAAAAGGTTAATAGAAATTGTAATGTATCGTGCCAAAAGCTGTCAAAAGATAATTGAGGATTATAAAAGTATTAAAAGTCACAACCGACACATGAGCTATTAGATATAAATGTCCGTACTTACAATACAACTTTTATGCTACTTATGCTGTTCTCCGTAGCCTATTTACTCGATCCTCCGACACAGCTTCTCAACCGAAAGCTGACAACTAATAAATGCCAGAAAATTCCCCGAATAATATTCCAGGTCTTTTTACACGTAGCGTACAACCCCCTCTCCAAGTGTTCGGCGACCTCGTAATAATAAGACATTGTAAACAATGTTTACGTTCGTCGAGGCTATTATGTATACACGGCGATCCTGTTGTATTCGAATAATAATACGCTCTATTCAGAACGAACAACTATGTCCAACGATCCATAATGGCCTTTAACATAATTATCTGAACTTTCTTAAAAAGAAAAATGAAAATATATATCGGAAATATATATCATTTATCTCTATATGTGTAACATTTAATACGTTGCGACCTATTTAATTCCATCGGAGAAAAACTTCTATATTTACCCGATAATCGCATTTAAAGACTTCAGATACAAACTGTAGTCAAGATAAAAGCCAAGATAAAAGCATACACTATTTTTATACATAGGAGCGACATCCGCGGACATATATGCGCATAAAAACAAGAACGTTGTTTACTCGGTGTGTTGTTACAAAGGGTGATCCGTCATCGTGGAGGATGAAAGAAAAAAAAAAGAAGGTATATCAAAGACGCTGGGATCTCGTATTACGGAAAATCGATATTATTACGGCGGTGACGGTATTTTACAGATACATATACACAGTGACCGAAGATGATGATCGAACTGCACTTTGATTAAATACTAAAGGTATAATACCGTTCTTCATTATATTAACTACGCCACCTCGTTTATGACCGTCTCTTTGACGTTGTGCGAAAGATAATCTACGTAAAACTCACACAGAAAACGATATTGTTTGAATAGTCATATCTTCAATTTAGCCAAGATGAAACGACAACTTGAAAGCGATTGTGATCCTAATAGAATATATATTTCAATAATTAATACGATTGCACTCGCAATCAAATACGACAACACTGAGTATAGAATAATATTCTGATAGTGTTTACCTCTATTGCAGAGAAAATGTGCCATTATTGATTATTAGGATCAATTACAATTATATATATCAATAATGAAAATAGAGCGATATTCCCTTCCTTAAATATAAAAATAAATATATATTTCTAATAATTATTATAATATAATAATATTAATATATCTATATTAATCAATAATCTAACAATCGGATTAATCGCGCGGTCGGCCGAATTTGGAAGATTTTTCATTCGCTGCGATATGCTATTATCTCGACATTCGATTAGCACCAATGCGCAGCCTAACGATTATAAACGACCATGTTCAGCGAACCTGTCGGCCGTTAGCCTCGCAAACCGTCTAATGACCTACCGCTAATAACTGCTACTGCTCTTGTAAGCGATCCGTTCAGAATACGGGCCATTAAATCCATAGTCCTAAAGTGTATTAGCGGTACAGGCATGTTATTTGTAGGCACGGTCAATACAATTACAGCTCTATCAATCGTTAGGAATAGCTGCGAGCATATCCAGAGAGTTTAGATTGTTCACGTCAAAACCATTATATAGAGTATGCATAACGTTATAATCGATTTGATGAGTATTAGAAATCCACGAAATGGAAAAATAAATTTGATGAATCGATCACGATTATAATCGACATCCATTAAAGACCCTACAGCCGAATTTAGAATAGCATAATTTTGTATCATCGGCTGCTATATTAACTCAATAAAGATGAATAGTTGAACGCGTTACTAACAATCAAAGAATATTTATATCAAATTGGTTAAAATCCAAACTATCTATTAATACAAACAATCAATTAATACAAATTAATATACAAATTGTTTTATTATTGTCATTCTTTCATTATTTATTTCTACTTAATTGTAATTATTTGTACTAATACTCTCTCTTTTTGCTACTTATTGATTTATCATAGCAAATTAAAAATGTGATAATACAGTTTCAGTTACAATTGATAGTGCATCGTAAATACGTTCACCGAGTATCGCGCTACCGAAAAGTCACATAAACCAGCGACAATAGAAAAGCGCATCATCGAACGCGCTTTGAATAGGCAATAAATACCGAACTTCATAAGAAGTTTTCGATGCTCTACGGCGTTAAATTGACGATGCAATTCGCCCGTTCACAATGTGCCTCTCCAGTATAAGGAATATCTATAGAAAGATGCCCTCTCACGTCTTCGAAAATCACCCTCTCAACAACGGGGGTGGCTACGAAGTATTAACATATTTACGACAGTCATGAATTCAAACGCCTCCTTCACCTTCCCGGACCGCATTCCCTCGCAAAGTTACGAGTTCCCGCCCACTCGAAATCGACGTCGATCGACCAGCCGAGCGCATCGAGAAAATTAGTCGAGCGTGTCTTTTCGTTCCACGAGAACCTACGAACAGCGCGGCGGTGTTCCCTACGTTGAAAGTCTCCCTTTTCCTAGACTTTTCCCGCACACATACACACACACACACACACACACACGTACACCCGTAAAAATGCGCGCGCAAACTTGGTCGGGCACGTACCCCAGATCCGATTTTTCGTCTGACTCTACAGGGGTCGGTTGTTCCTACATAGAGCGCGAATGCATCGGAGAGATTCCGCAGATTGGAGAAACGTTGAAGTGAATGTATTAGTGGAACTGAAGGACTCCAAAAAATTCTCCGCGAGTATTCGTATTTTTGTTTATTTTTTCTGAATAGTTTAATAATTCTTTTTTTCTATGTTAGAAACATCTACATATTTATGCATACTTGCATAACAGAGAGAAAATCATTTGCTAATAATTGAAAATAATTAATTTCTATAACGTATTGTGAAAATGTCAAATGCTATTTAATTAACAATAAATTCATAAGATTTTATTGAATTACTGAATAAATTGCTTAACGCGAAACAATTCCATGTATCGGGGGAAGGAAAAGGAGAAATTACGTTCTTAATTTTATTGCAATCTAAAAATGATACGTAAATATGAGAATTCAACGCATTAATAATTGCTTTTTTGAAATCGCTTATCCATTCGGATATGACGCATTCACGCTACTTATATAATTATTCAATGGGCAGGAAATTATTATTTAACGTGCATGATATGACGCATAAATTAACGAGGTAATGATATTTTGGCATCGCTATTTCAGTATTATTGATATTTATTCACGTTTACAAGCAAACAAGTTTATCAACATCTTACGTTCGTTAGCTGTTAAAACTTTCCCTTTCCCTAGAGTCATATTTCGAAGACAATTCATGAAACAAAAGATAAATAAAATCTCACTAAGATTAAAAGAATATGACAAAATAAATATCCACAAGTAAATTCAGAGATAAATGTTAAATATATATAATCACTACATTTTTAAAATCGTTTATATCAGTGAATAACTATTTAATTTACATTTTTTAACGTTTTTCATTATTATTTGAATTGACAAAATATCAACGCTGTGTGTGTGCTTGATGTGGTATAAAATTCTTTCTAATCGATATACGCAGTCTTCGTTTTATTTGATCAGATAAATTCACTTCCGTGGCAAAATACCATGAAATAATGCAAAGGTGCAGCCGATTCCGCGACGGTCGCAATAAAAACGTCTCTTTAGAATCGATATACGAACAATGGCTAAAACGACATCCACTCTGCCTGATGTAGAAAGTCGCAGGGCGCGAAGAGATGTCGAGTCCTCGTCTTTGTATGCAAATCGCGTAGCGCACTCACGGAAATTCACTGAAGACGAGAAACCGACTTGACGCTTGACTTTGCCCGTTTGTCGTCGGTTCTATCGGTTGACGAATTCCCTAACGATAATTTTATTCGAGAAGTTCGCGTACCGAGAAACGAGAAATCGGTACTGAAAGCGAACGTTGACGAAGTACCATACTTTTTTGTCGCTCGCGACCGTTTACTGCAAAGATATATATTTAGTACTATTTTTTTTTTTTAAATGCCGAATTATATCGGTGTAATGAACAATATACAGCGATCTACAGCGAAGATCGCATAATCTGAATATCAAAAAGACCAAAAGATAATATACAATCTATTTATGTAACATAACTGAAAGAATTTTTAAAAACAAAATATAAATTTTATCTTTACATATGTAAAATGTTTCGTGAATCAAAACCAAGATTTTAAATTTTTGCTTTAAATGCACAAATGTTTTTACATGTTCGCTGAAAGAAAAACGTTCTTTGTTTTCGTCATCCTCAATCTCGTGAAAAATTCGATAGCGGAGCGTATTATTCCTCTCAATGCTTCGCCAAACTGTTGAGATAGGGCCACAAAATGCGTTCCATTTATCACATGATAAAAGCACCAAACCAAGAAAACGGCAGATCAACTATTTTTGACTTATTAACTGGACAAACATCTATAAATTTCTTTTCTTCTACGTCCTTCTTACAAGTCACGAGTAGCAAATCTTTCTTCGCGTGCTTGTGATAAATTTTTACCAATAAAACTCGTCAGTATCTTGAACTATTACGTAAAATAATATTACGTAGAAAAATATCCAAAAGCGTTTCTATGAGCTACACGTATATTTTCAGATTATTTCATTTATTTCATCACGAGAGGTTGCCGTTATTCTATAACATATCTATAAAAACGCAGTTTTCTCGTTATTTCTCTTTCTCCATGTGTGCTTCTATTAAAAAAAATTGTCCTCATTATTGCAATAATAAAAAAGAATATTATTTAAAAATTAAATTTACTTTTAATATTGTATATACTCACATATAGTCACACTAATCTCACTATTTTGGCATCATGATAGTAAATATGCCAACATATTAATTATTCTGGCAATTAAATATTAAATTACTTTCGAGTCAACGTAAAACGCATTTTTGAAGTTAGTTTAAAAATATATATAATTATATATTCTCGATTCATATATTTTTGAAATTTTATCCGTCAAATCTCTTTAATCTTTAATGTTGGATCTTTATTTCTATAATTCAATGTTCCGACATTTCTATTATACGATTTACACTCTGTTATTCTTGTTCATAATTTGACTTCTAACATTTGATATCACAAAACAGATTAAAAAATAAAATGAAAGACGTCACGATAGGAATGGAGCACCGCGTACAGCGCATACATACATATCCACATACACATATACATATATTCTTATTAACAAGAAATTGTACATTTCGGGATGTTATATAGAGATCATAAGTATTAAAAAGTTCTACAAGTGATTCAAACTTGGTATTGAGATCTTATATGGTTAAACAAATATATATATATATATATATATATATGCACACACCAGCAGCGTCGCACGACGCTAGTCGTCGATCTTCAAGACAAATATTATTCCGAAAAATTGGATTACCGTTATCGTCCACCACCGAACGCCAACAACTGTGTGTCGGCGGATCGTTCCGAGCTACCAGTAACGTGCGTGCAAACGCGTGCGAGAAACTTTCGGGGCTATCACCCAGATCTTCTCCTCCAACATCCAATCTTTCCCTTTTCTTTTCTGTGCGCCAGACCGCGATACCACACGAATCTTCTCGGTATATCTCAACCACGGTGAATAATTTTGACATGATGGCGAATACGAATAAATGTCGTGTGTGTGTGTGTATTCTCAAATAATAATCCTTTATTGATCTTAATTTTTAATATTATTAAATGTAATCAAGCAAAAGATTATTTCATATTAACTTGAAATAAAATAGAAAACTCGATTTTTACTAAATTTTAATTAATTTTGATAATATATAAATAGATAGAAAAGTAGTTAAGAAGAGAATAGAATGGAAAAATACTTTTTCAAATAGTTTTTTTTTATTTACATAAGTTTCCCGAGCATTAGAAGATAAAAGTTAAGAAAACTCATAGATCGCGGCTTTAAGAAACAGAAAGGGAGAATGTATTTATCGGAGCGAAAGGAAGGGTCTAACTCCGGTCCTCTAATACCCTCTTTGATAACTCTCTCGAATACAGAACGATAGTCTTGTAATACCCAGATTAATATACCCCTTCAGTTTTAGGTCTGTATCAATTCGCAGAAGACTCACGGGATGATGTCGA